ATGCCGTTAAGGGTTTTTCGTACCTTCAGGGCTAATCCTTGAAACAGATGACCATCTTTTTCGTTGCCTATGCGAGCTTGAAAGTCATGCTGACTGGTGATATTTATTATAGGGGGTTTAATTACACATCATCACACCACTTCTAGCTGAAGTGTTTGGAGTGAACAAAGTATCTTTTATGCGAATCTGTCAGAAGGCCTACATGCGTGTTGTTGCTATGGTTGTCGGTGGTCCAGCCGGCTCCCATGACGCCCCGGATTGCTGCTTTCTACCTCTTTCGATTATGCTCATTTTTTGTGACTAAGCTCAGCCGGTCTTCTATCACCATTTGTACCGGTTTAATGCCTACTCAGTAAAGACTTCAGTCACCTCTGACAGTGTCCCAGCAGAGCTTGACTTTTCCGCCTCTAGTTCAGTGCCATCCGGGAATCTGGATGGCGATCCGTCTGATGCGCGCCCTATCGCGTTCCCTCGGCAACTTTCAGGGCGGTAGAGAGCTGGATGATGTCGCCATAAGCACGGATGGTGGCGGTGGATATTTTGTCGATCACATGAGTCCATGAGATGATTCGCAAACGCCAGTGGTCGAAGGATTCCACCTAGGATTTCCTCGCGTCTTCGACTCGTAGAGCCATGCTCTCATACTCATAAAGGAAGATAGGATGGATGGCGGCCTGCAGAACTCGGCGCTTCGTCTTCAGACTGATTTCTTTCGTTTCCGCAGTGGCTTGCAGAGCTGGAGTAGAGCTCACTCGTTGCTGTTAACCGAGCCGTAATTTTATCCTTTTAGCCCGTCCTTTTGGATTGATGGAGATGATACCGTGTTCGAGGGCGGAAAATCGCCAAGGGAATGGAACACGGAAGATTTCTCTCCTGTTTCAGGATTCTTTGAAAGAACAAATACGTTTTTGCTGTGTTGATGACTATTCGCACTGTTATCACAAAATTATGGAGTGGCACATTGTGCACCTTCATGGTTCAATGACGCATGAAGGTGTCGTCGGCATTGTCAAGATCAGTTTCACATTGACCAAGACCGGCTTCGACGCCAGCAAAATCTTTCATTGCTGTTCGCATGATTCAAGCAGTCACGAAGTTGAATAGAATATGGCAAAGGACACATCCCCGATGGACGCCAAAAGCAATGCCAGAAAACCTGGCAGCTTAACATTAGCCCAGCATGTAAACCAGCCATAAACCTTCCCTTGCTTACGGTAGCATGACCTAGTAAAGTTCACGAGCAAACTGGAACCATAATCATTTCCATAATACGCCTAAAGGAATCTCAATGGACTGAATCAAAGTCCACCGAGAACATTCTATGAAGAGCACAACACTGGGCTGCTGGAAACAATAATGGTGCAACTCGAAGATCTGATCGACACACCCGTTTAGTCGATCGTCACAATTGACTTGGGACCTCAAGGGTAATAATATGGTGAAGAGTTTTCCGTTTATGTCAATCAACCTCATTCCGTTATAGTTCTGAAAGAGGTTTTCATCATCATTTTGAAGAATGGCAGTAACAGGCGTCCCTCAAATTTTGCAGCACCGATTCGGATCAAACATAGCTAAATGATGCATGAAAGTACTCGACTACTTCTGGCGGATTTCCATGATATCGCTCTGCAGAGAGACAGTCCTCACCAAGAGCTTACTCTCATCTCAAGACCTGTTATCTGGTTATTGAGGGAACTATATAGATGGGGATGAGGTATTGCTCGCTAACTCTCTCTAATGCCGCATTTTGATGTGAGACCACTGGAGGCGAGTGACATCTAGAGGATAGATTTAAAGGGGTCTTAACGCCTATCAACGTGCGCCGCGAGAGTCGATATCAATTCACCAGTGGTGATGTGTATAGAATCGCTAATCATATTACACGACAACGTCGTATTCCGAATTAGTTGACAAGCTTCCTCGTAGCCCCTACACTCGAGTGGTGCTTCATTGCATTCGCTACTTCTTCCCAATACGTGTTTTTACGGTTTTGACGAATCCCAATGCTTGCCACCGAAGTTAGTGGAAGTCAACCTTACCTTTTATACGAGCTTTACGGATTAACTTCGTAAGCCGTTAGCCTGTGCCTACATTAATCCAGTCGTTTTATGCGGTTCTTATGTGGTCAAGTATGTTGACAGAGGAATGATGCAGTCTATTTCAGTGACGACTATCTTTCTTCCGTAATATCCTATGTTTTGGCTGTTGTTGTTCACGATCCCGCACACGGAAACTCCTTCATTATTATGAGGTTTTTCGTAATCGGTACGCTTCTTGGAGAGGGTTAGATTTCTTCACCCTCTTTATACGCATTTCCTGGCGAACCATAACATGGACCGTGCCGTGAAGGTTACCGGTATTGTCCTCATTGACCTGCTGTCGAGAACACACAATTTTGTGTTGGTCGCATAATAAATCTGGATGGCCGTCCTACTGTCCTTTGATTACCACGTTAAAAAATATATTCGACGATTCTGGAACCGCATGTTCCTCACAGTCAGCCAGTTTTGTTCGGTAGAAAGGAGTTATCGCTAGCGATTACTGCATCGTGTGCCAAGCTAATAGGAAACGAGGGTTTTCTTGCTCATCTCTCTCGATAGCTGACCTTTCTACTCCAGTCGCCGGCCACCGCGATCAGGTCACTTTTGGGGAGTCTTGCCTGTCATAGCTTGTAGGCAGGCATAAAACTAATCATTCAAGGCATCGTTTGCGTCCAATGCAAACCCGTTGACGACAATGATGGATACGTTAAAAAGCAGCTCCCTTCAAGCGCGCAAGACGCGGGTTGACTGTAAGCCTCTAGAGAAGACTTCCATCATACAGTACTGTGGGCCACACCGTGCCTTCCTGAGTTACCCCGAACTATCCTAGACCACTGTGGTATCGTCAGTACTGCTGGTCAAACAGAGGAGCTTTCACAGACCTTGATCCGGTAGGAGGGACGCAAACTTCCGACTAACAGGCACTGTCTACTTTGTAACGGATGAGGGTGCGAGCAGTGAGTGATGTACTTCCTGGGCGGAGTAACATACGTACGTGCCAGTAGGCAATCGAAATGATTCAGTTAGTGAATAATTCAGTTTAGTGTACTAATCGTCTGGATCACTGAACTTTAATTGCCGTGACATTAAGCAGAAGAGACTAATAGGACTAATTTTGTAGGAGCTGCATGAAGTATGCTGAGAAAGACACGTTCCCAACAGCGCTTGGTTTATTCTCGTAGTTGTTTCTTCAAGTCTTAGACCTTCTGAGGTGTAGCTGCAAAACAGCGGTGACTTATTCCCGGCGGCGGTCATTCTTGCCTCATCATAGGACGGTCATAGGGTTATACGTGGCCATGGGCAAAGAACTTGCCAAACCCATTCTCAGCCACGTCCTCACAGTGCCCACTGCTGCATGACCATGATTACTTACTCATCACAGCTGACCTCCATATCTGAGTTGCTTTGCCATCTGCAATCTGAGGAGGCATCAGATGGATCACACCTAGACTTAATGCTAAATGCTAAAATTATATGCATCAGGAGAAGAACAGCGAACATTTGTACATATGTTCAGGATTATAATCATAATCGTGTTTTTTCAAGCTTTCATTCTGAGGATGTTTTTTTTACTTTTCCTACACTTTTTTCTCAGCCACTAAAAAACTGAGACTGCAGAAGTAAGGCGATTGATTGATCAGTCTTGTAGTTTGAATGCGATTTTCAGGAGAGACACGGACAAATTGATACTAACAATGCCTGAATATAGTGACATGCCTGATGAAGCGCAATTCTTTTGTGCAGTGTTATTCTGTCTGAGTAAGTTATGAGCAGACAGCCCATATAGAAAAATACTATATAAAGAAGTAGAAATACCCATATAGAAGTATCAAACGTAGGCTAACGATAAATGTAAATTATATTACAGGTATCAGAATTATCTAGCGAAACATCAAGAAATTAAGTAATAAAACTTTTACTTCAAATAGTTAACTCAGTGTTTTTGAGGGAAGAAGCTATGGAGAAGATCATGATATTTATTTAATCAATTTTGAAACAGCTAACGAAAATGCCCAATTATCTTTTATAAACGTTTTGGAACAGGTCGGGTTCGTGTACAAAGTCATATTTCCAAAGTGTTCCACGGAAGTTCATGCAAGGATAGCGGAATGGTGGATCGCCAATAGGCGTTTGCTTCGCTTAGCTTGAAAACTGAACTTAAAACATGAAACTTAAGTAAAAATAATGCACCTTTGCTATACGGAAAATAATAAGCTTATGACAAAGATATGCCGCAGATTAGTCCTTTGTTTTAGAGCATATCCTCATGCAAACGTTTGTTGAGCATCGTAGTAGCAGCGCTTCAATGGGTAAGCGATATTTGGTCGGGGTGATCGTCCAATGAATATTGGTCAGCGAAAATCAATTTTCTGCCTTACCGTTGTCATGCAATGACATTTTAGTTAGGCAACAGCAATACATGCATGAACAGTAAAAATAAATGAAACAAAGCAGCTATCACAAAGTATCACAAACGTTTAGACCTGCAAGAAGCAGTCCGGCTGCTTGGTCTGGAGATAGGTGCCATGAACTGTAGGCAGGTGCTTCGGATTCTGCTGCAGCGACGAGGTCTCTGTGGCACGCACCGGCCACACTCACCGTACACCGGTTATGCACCACACCGGCCACCAAGGAAGGGAACGGAAACGTACATGAAGTGGCATGAAGCCCTGTTGAAACGGACGGCGTCGCGGGAGTCGGCGTTCACGCAGTCCGCTTCAAATCGCCCGGCGCAAAGTACGACCACAGCTCATAGGCCTGTTGGTACGGACATTGTTCGAGGCTTTTCAACGCTAGTGCTTCGTAGTCCAAAGTTGAGTAGTTTCTCGTCAGCAGTCGGATCTGGAATAAGATCGTAGTTCATCAGAGAGCACAGAAAATATCAACGGCTGGCTGATAAGGGAAAATTTCAACGGCCACGTTGATGGGCTAACGTCGAAACACCTCATTGAAGGCATGTTTTTGCCGTATAGCGTTTCAACAAGGCGTTCGAACACTAAACAGTCACAAGAAAAGAGCCGGCTTGCCAAGATTGATCATAAACAAAGCTCAGAAACGAGAAATGAAAAACTAATTAAGGAGAGAGGAAGCATTTTTCTTAGAGTGGCAGATTTAAATAATGGAAGATGCGGCTTGTAGCAACGATACCATGACCTCGTCCAGGAAAGTGTATTGCTAGTTCGATAGAAAGAAGCATCGACTAACAACCGCAAAGAAAGAGGACGCTAACCTCACGTCTGATCAGAAGTCATGCAGAAGTCATTGAAACATGTGGAAAACTTTCGAATCGTTGCCTAACCTTGATTTGATTGTTAAGCAAGATTCATTACACGATGCTATGCCTGAATAAAAAATGAAAGTCATCGCAGTATTTCTGACCTTTGAAAAAATGAACAATGAGAATTAACGGACGGAAATAACGAATCTGGAGGGCATTCGTTGAGCAGCTGCTGAAAATGCTCAGTCGATCTTTCGAGACGTTCCTTCTGGCCTGTCAGTTGGTCATCCGTAACGCCTTGAATAAGGACAAACCGAGTTTTCTGCTTATCGAACAACTACCGCATTCCCTCGAACACTGTTCGTTACTTACCCTTCTGACTGCATTTTCGATCTTTCTGATTTTCTTTTCCAGTCATACTTATTTGTCCCACCTGTTGCTCTGGTTAAGTGCACGAACCAGACGACGACGAGCTGCCTTCTAGGGTGAAATAGGGTGTTACAAGGACTCCTTCCTTGAGTGAGTTCTTTGTACTCAGAGGGCTAGGGTCTTCTTCGTAACCCAAAGGAATTTGACCATTTTCTGCCTGGCCTTAACTAGGTTTATCGCCGAGAAAATATTGGCCTCTCTGAAGTGTCTGTAAGCGTCATCGACGTTGTCACTTCCAGATTAAGCACTAAAAATGACATCAAAATTACTCTCTATCTCCTTTTGGTAAGCTAACCGCCTCGCTTCGACATATTATAGCCTGTCAACGTCGAGCAGCTGACGTGTTTCAACTAGACGTCGTCGATGCACGACTAATTTCAGGCGAAGTTCTGCTACGACTATATGGTGATCAGGCCGAGTGCGGGCGGCACTCCTCATGCGAGTTTTGAGTAACGAGTTGCGCCACTGGCAGTTGATGAGGACGTCGCCAAGCTGGGTGCTTAAGCTTACGTCGAGGGATGTCCTAGTTGTTTGGTCATTAAGCCACTGAGGGAAAGGGTCAAGCCAACAACTAAGTCGTTTGTGGTGCAGAAAGTGAACAGACACCTTCGTTGTTATTAGCACTTGACAGCCGAGTACGCCTGTGCATGCGTCGTATTCGGTGCCTTATTTTGCCTGTGACAAAGCACTGTCAGTCGACTGCAAGTAACCGTTGAAAATGTGTTTGTAGTTGTCACTACATTTTACTCTACTAACTCTACATTTGTGGACGAATAGGCGACCTTGACATTCAGCTTCGTCTGTTTGACAATCACGCAACAAATCAGGATTCTCCGACACCTGTTTCAGTGAAATGGCTGTCCACCTTATCCTAGGGGACAAGAAGATTCCTACACCAGAATGGCATAATCTGCCGGCATAACCAGAATAGCATAATATATATAACTACTCATATTCCAGCGCTGAAGTTTATTACAGATCTACCAACACAGAAAAAAGAAACTCGAAACGCTTCGTCAAAGGCTCAAAGTCAAGCAAGCCGGTGGTATTGATCATAGTCACCCTGGGATAACAAAATATTTAGCTGCAGGAATGGTGTGTGAGGTATCATCACAGTGAGACGTTTGCTTAGGCAGAACATCAATGGTTTGCGAGTACCTTGTGTTCGCAGTTTTACTACACTTGAGTGATAAGGCGCCGAGTACTGCATTGTAGAAAACAGTGCTACTTTTCGGCAGCAGATTTGCTTCCATCCTGTTTCTCCAGGTTGCATGCCGGCCTCCAGGCCGATATTTGCCGTATCTCGTCTCAGACATGAAACTGATAGCCTGGCGTAAATGGCGAATGCTCAGCCAGTTTGTCTAACAAGTCAAAATCATTTCCGTAATTTCCATATCTATTGAGGTCCCATGTGCCTGGAAGAGAATGGATTCATTCCTTACGTGATCCTCTCATTTAACCTTCATCATGCGTCTAAACCAACACTGCGACTACAGTTCAACCGTCGTTTTAGTTCCCTCATTAACAACAACTGTCTCCATGCCGTACAAAAGCAGTGACCAGTGACGGATGTTTCTTTAAGTGGCCTACCCATTTCTTAGCCATGATATCTGGAAGGTCACGATACAGACATATATACATTACACGCACTGGGTGCGAAGGCGATCCTCCTATTTAATTCTGGTTTGATGATCCCGTCAGTCCAGATTAGTGAATCGAGATGCTTAAATTGGTCGACTTCATCTGTGGCCTTGCCCTCTGTTCCGATAGCCGGACAACCATGTCCATTGGGTTCCTCATAACTTTGGACTTCATGGCGCTAAGGCAGAGGCCAGCTTTTGCAGATATGTTGCAAACGGGCGCCGTCACGTGACAGAAACCGCTTCCAGGACCACTGATTAGTACAATTTTATCCACATACTCTAGATCTGTGAGATGTCTCTCCGGATAGCTTAAACAGCGCCTTCCCTCTAGGATGAAGCCTTCGTGTTTGACACGTCAGCACTGTTTCGGAGGAAGGCAAGAAAATCGGCGAACAGCAAAAACGAATGCATATCTTCCAGGCAAACTCAACAGTTAATAGAGAGCCACTCTGTTGTCTTTCCGTCTATCCTGACAACAAACATGGTTCCTTCATTCAGTTCCGATGACCGGTCATCCTTTCGGGTCGCAGACGCAAGCGCGCCAGGCAGTGTTACCAACGTTATAGATTTTATGCCAGTGTTTGAGTTTCGGTAGAATATAACCCGAGTCTGTCCTTCCATACACTTGCCCAGGTTACTCATGGTTGCCCCCCCCTCCCCTCCCTTCACCACAGGTCTTCGCCGGTCGATGGGGAGGTATCAGACGTTTCGCCTTCCCTTCTGAAAGCATTCGCAACTGTGACTTCTCAATCTGTAGAAGTCTTCGTACACACATTTGTTCCAAAGTGGAAACGATGCAATCAATATCCTATGACACTTCAAGAATTTTCGCACCGTCGAACGACGTGGTGAATCAAATTCAACATTATAATCGAGAAAATTGGCAAACCAAAAGCGACTGGAATCATCAGCATAGCTCATTGATCGTACACAGAGTGAAAACTTTGGCGGGGTCGAAGTACCATATCCGGAAGCCTGCTTGTTTTTGGCGAAGTCTTCTATCTAGCCTCTCTCAATCTCTCGAGGATCATCCAAGAGAGCGGTTTCCCGGGCCGGGAGTACACAGTAGGATAATACCCTGACAGTTGGAGCACGCTGTTGCCTGTCTCTTGCTCAATATGGGGTAATTATATCACGTTTAAGTTCTCAGGAAAGTACCTTGAGACCCGAAATTTTACGACAAAGAGTATGAAGATTTTCTGACATTTTTCTTAAACAATATTGGTTAATTCTAGGGGAGTTTGATCCATACTGCAAACCTTGTTTACTCTGAATTACAGTAAGGTCTTTTAAATTTCTTGTTTTGTAGGGGGAGCGAACGTTTAGTGTCTGTAGAAATTAACTTGAACTTACAAATTAACTTGAAATGGTAATCTTGCGAACAGCTGTTGAAATTGCTCAACCCATCTGTTAATGCGTTCCTTCTTATCTGCCAATGAAACACCCTTAGACCCTTGGATAAGATCGGAGTGAGTTTCTCTGCTTACCGCACAGTTGTCACACTGACTGTAACGCTGTTCATCAGTCACTCTTTCTGACTGACTTACCGACCGTGTTGATTGCACCATATAGCCAAAGTTTTCTGTCCTATCTGAAGCTCTGGCTGACTGCACGAATGAGGCGACGATGGGTTACCATCTAAAGTACAGTAGAGTATCGCAAGTACTGCTTCTTGGTCTGCTTCTTCGTTTCTCTATGGTTTAAAATGTTCTCCGCTTTGTGATTCAAACTAAGGCAATGACGCCATCTTTCAAGTTCTTGTCAGCTTCATCGACGTTGCCATTTCCGCACTGGCGCTAAAGATGGCACTACAATAACTCTGGGCATTTTTTGGTAGATCGGGAATGGTAGACAAATTTAACACCGTTTTAAAGCAAATGTAGAATATCGAAGCGTTTCCAGGAGAAACGCAAGTCTGAACCATCGTTGCGCTTGTATTTAAAAGGAGGGTACGGCCGAATATTCAGAATACCTTGGTATCAGCTTCTGTAAAATTCTAGGGAAAGATTCCCCTGAATCATCTTGAAATGGCTGCAGGAGACAGCTGAAAGAAGACTTAGCCAAAGTCTGGCAGGTTTCCTGAAGGAGTGTTCTTTCTGTGACCAAGTTTTTATCTTGCCCGTGATTAAAGTGCATAGTCAACGATTTTCAAGCATGCATTTGATTCGACACACCGTCTCCTATTCATATGATGTAGAAAATATTACGTTCATCCATGAGCAAGTCGTTCCTATTTTTAGATGCATGCAGCAGTCGTACACGGTTATGCTTATGCTGTCAGTCATGGGAGGGCTATCGGAGGGGACCCGAACGATCGATCGGCGGAGGCTAAAGACCATGCATGCTGGCGTAGATTAACCTAAGCGTACTACGTTTGGATCTTGGCTGCACTTGTGGTAAAACGGAAGCTGTGTCCAAACGGTGTCCATGACTGACCGGCGACGCGTCCAGAACAACAGCTTGTCGGTGACGTTCACTTGGCCGTTCGGCAGATGGCCGTAGGTGTGGAAGAGGCCGAAGCAGGTGCGGAACGCGTCAGTCGCGAAACAGCGCTCCCTGAAAAGGCTCACACATTTTGGGCACAGACCAAAAGGCAACGAACGACAGCGAACGACAGAGAATCGTAAATCGTACACGCAGTGTCCGAACGAGGTCAGCGACTCGCACAGGCTGCACACGTGGTTGAAGTAACGGAAGAAGCCGATGTAGCTAAAGCGAACGAACATACGTTGTGACCACCGGGCACCATGAGGTGCGAACTCGAACCGCACTTACGGACAGCTGTGAATGAAGCACTGCTGCGGCGGGTTGTACACGTCCGAGCGGTCCACGTGCTGATGGTAGTGCTCGAAGCAGCCGTCTGTCCACAGACCGCGAGGCTCGGAGGTCGCTTTGACGAACGGCACCTGAAACGAGAGCAATAGGTCCGAGCCCGGCGACGTGTACCGTCGTTCGTCAAGCCGTACCGCCATCTGCACTATCAGACACAGTGAGGCACGCGACAGCATGGCGGCTAAATGTTTTGCAAAAAATGCCTCTCTGCGGCCATGCAACGTGAACGAAATACTCGGCCGATTACCTTGCTCAGACTAAGACACAACTGCCCTGTCTTCGGACGAAGATTGGTGATATTTATCAGGCGATTTAATCAATCCGGTATTCATATTCTGATCCGTTTAATGTCATTGGATGGCTAAAATTAGAGGCGGACATCCGCCGACCGCCCAGGGTTTACCGAAACGAGATCGAACCGTGATTAACGACCGTTCATTTTCGCCCACTTCCAAGCACAGGTCCTTGTTCGATAAAATACACACGAAAATAATTAAATAAATGTGTCACATTGCAAGAGGTCAAGACACTCATTTCTTTCATCAGACGGTCACACGCAACGGAAGAATCAGCAAACGACGAATCGGAAGCGAATTTGCTGACGATAACTCGTACAGCCGTAACAACCGCCTAGGAAACCTTTGGATGCTGTTAACTTGGTGCTGTTTCCTGTCACGAATTGGTTTGGTTCGCGTCAGGCCCTTGTCATTTGTAAGCAATGCTCCTCGAATACCACGAGTGGTTATCCTTCTTGCTCATTGTTTTTCTCTGCAAACGAGCTAATGAACTGTGCTCAGATTCCGCAGCAAACGACACGACAGTCCGTTGATTGAGCCACTAACTCGAGAAACCTTCGCCGAAACCTCATTGGCTAACTGATCTAGGGCTATCCAAGTCCATTCATGACCAAAATGAGAATAAATGCACGTCACCTCACTTTGCAACGCCTCATAAACCTTGACTTCAGTTGTAGCCCAACCGTCCAACCGTCTTCATGCGGACGTGCATCTGAACTTGAAGAGCCCTCGCCAAACAACAATAGCGACAGTTTTCACTTTTCTTTTAGAACAATGACGATATCGTGTTCAATCTTGTTGAGTGAATCTGAACTGATTGTTTCCTTATCACAAACTTCTGAATTTTCCTTCCATGTGATCTTAGACAGATTTCATTATGAAGTACTAATGACCTAATCAACCACTTGTAACGCTGTCTCGTTAGCCGATTGCTTAAGAATTCATGAAAAGCCTACATCACCAAATTAATACTCTCATCGTACTTCGCAATGAAGCTTCTGCATTGGTCGATGCCCACTCACCTAGTGGAGGACGCCAAAATGAAACTTGCGAAGCGCCATTATAAATCTTGGTTAAGTAAATAAATTGCACTGCAATTTATTGCCGAAAAATTCGGATAAAGCCTTGAATGGCATTCTGTGGCTGTTTGGTGTGTAAGATACTCGGTGGAGCTTAAAAAAATGCCATAGCAGTGCCAACTGTTATTTATTTCCCGGTTCGCAAAACGGGATACTGTGCGATGAGCGGTTTACATCTGCATGGAGGTACAAACTGCTCTGCCAAGAAATGTTTTCTGCACAAGCGTCCAGTAAGACCAATGATCATCAATCAGGGCTGTTTTGCTGTTTAGGCTCTGTTAGTCTTTGATGACGGTGAAAAAGCAGCAACAACAAGCACGAAAGTAGTTCGCTGTTCAGTCTAACCAATAAAGTCTACACAAAATGCCAAAAGGAAGAAGCCAACAAATGAGTAAACCGAGGATTCGGCATGGGCAATATGACACTCGTCCCTGTCCCAACACGGTAGACCACTGTGGTTCTCTCAGTCAAATCCGTGATAAATCATGGAAACATACAAAGGAGGCTTATGCTTGCTTCGTACACTTACAGCTGCTAGCAGAGTATCCTTGTCGCAGTAAAGAAGAGCACTGTAGAAATAGTCGGTGCATGGCCAGTTAATGCTGGCCATAAGATTCCTGTACAACAGCTCAAAGGTTCGGATTAACCGCAAAAAATGATTTCTTCCAAACTGCGGTTTCTCTCCTATTCATAATTTTATTGCGTTGGATTAGCATTAACAGCCAAGGTACAAAGAACGTCGCAAATAGGATCGACTGAATCA